TAAGATGAGTACTCAAGAAAACTGGTCGTCTTTTTGTATGTATGTGATCAGGGATGGATGATTGAACCCAGGGCCTCGCACATGCTATGTAAGCTCTTAACCTCTGAGTTACATCCCCACCTCTCAGCCATCCTTTTGAGTAAACATTCTCCTGGCTGAAGAGAGCATTGCACTTCTCATCTGAAGTGATTTCTCTAGTATATATCTCTATTCTTTCAGTATGCCTCAGTCACTTATTTTTTTGAAACTCAGTTGTGGGATTTAAAAGAAAAAAGGTAATAATTTTTTTGAAATGTTAAAATTTGTTTGGTTTTTGGCATGCTTTTAAAGTTTTCTCTTTTTTATTTTAAATTTTCAAAGTAACAATAAATAAAGTCACCCCAAACTCATCAACTGCTGGTCCCTTGCCATGCCCTTGTCTCTTTCTCTGCACATACCGCCTTCTTACAGAATCATAGGGAGGTGGGCACAGGTACCAGGACAGGCCCCTGCATGCAGCCCCACGACCTCTGTATCCTGAGGAAGTCAATGTATGAATTCCAGAATAGTATTTTTTTTCCTTTTAGCTCAGAATAGAGTTGAAAATTCACACATTTGCATTTGGTTCTGACATCTTGGTCTTCTCCCCTCCTGAGGAATAGTCCTGTCACCTCACTGTTCTTCGTGACAACAAGTTCTTTGAAGAGTTCCTGCAAAACATCCTACATTCTATATTTGTCTGATTCTTTCCTCATGATTTTATTTAGGTCAGACATTCCCACCTAGAATACTATTTTGTGAATTTGTGAATTTCTCACTACTTCACAACAGGAACACAAAGAACAGTAAGTATTTAAAGTCAGAGTAACAATTCAGTAGTGCAGGGTTCTTCTGTAACTCCCCTCATGCTGTTTTCCGCAGAGATAATTCTGCCTCCCCCCCCCCCAACATAAACAGACAGTTGGTCCTCTATGCCTTTTGGATTCCACATTGCAAACTCAACCAACCATGGATGGAAAATATTCAGAAAAAAAAATTGCATCTGTACTAAACTTGTACAGACTTTTTTCTTGTCTTTATTCCCTGAACAATAGATTTATTTCCCTAAACAACTGTTTACATAGACTTTACATTGTACTAGGTATTATAAATAATATAAAAATGGTGGAAAGAATATGGGAAGAGGTTCACAGCTTTTATGTAAATATCATGCCATTTTATATAAGAGACTTGAGCATCCAAGGATTTTGATGGGGTCTTGGAACCAGTCCCCCACAACTACCAAGGAATGACTATATTTACTCATGTGTTCTAATTTAGAGTCCACATGCAAAGTTTTAAGCTTAAAGTATCAGCACTGTTTGAAAGAACACATCCAATATCACAGTTAAAAATATTCCTTTGTCCTAGGTTATATGTGTCCTTGGAATATATTCCATTGAAGGTGTGCTCTCACAGAATTATTTTTCAAGTTACTTTATGTAATTATTTATTTTATGTTCACACTATAGATCATGTTAAAGAACTATAAATAATTATTATATTATTAACAGTACTCTGTTAAAATAAATGTAAAAATGTTGTGATTAATTCCACTTCCTAGCAGAATAAGGTAGGGGAATAAGAAAACAGGAAATGCACACAGACCAAGCAACATCAGCGAATTCTTGGAGGAGAAGTGGTAACTAATTTGGCAAAGAAGAGGAAGCCACAACTCCAAGTGTGTGTCCCAGAATCACAAGTTACAAAAGGAAGTGGCCCACACTCCCTTCCCTGGACACAGGAGGCTCTGGGGCCACAGGCGCAGTGGAGAACAGGGCAGAGGCATGGGGAGAACAGAGGGGTCGGGAGCAGATGAAAGTCTTCATATGGAACAGTTGGCCTCACAGCTCCCCCTATTTGCAGATGCCCCAGAAGGCTCTCAGAGCAGCCTCCTTGGAAACCTACACTGTCCCCTAGGGAAAGACCCCTGGCCTAGCTCTTTTCTCCTGAGCCCTTCAGAATCTGTTCCTGATCCTTCTCTCCTGTGTTCTGTGTTCCAGAAAGTAAGCCATCAAAGAGTGTCCCTTGCACTTTCTCCTTCTGGCTTCTGGTAGGTTCTGCTGGGTTGGCAATGCACTGGTGTGATGATCTTGGACTGCAGCAGACAGAGGCTGTCATATTTATTGTCCCTTTTCTTCATGCCAGACTGTAGTTTGGCAATGGCTTCATTTCCCTGTGATGGCAATGGTTCCTGTTAAGGAGCCCCTCTCCCAGGGCTGAGAGCTTTTAGGAGAGTCCCAAACTTTCTATTCCACCTTTTATTTTCACACTTCAGGTGGTAGTGGCTCCCAGCTACTACCCAGGTTTCCAATCTCACCCTGAGCACTCACCCTCCACTGTTGTTCCTCTTAGGACAGGGACAGGAGTGTTACATGAAGAGGCTGTGGGAGGGTCTGAGCATGATATCTATTTCCTGCTTGGACAGGGGTGCACACAGCCTTCACAGACCAGTAATGGTTGGTGCCCTGGCAAACTATCAGTTCCACACTCAAAAAAATAGGCCTATTGGAAGCTTCCAACCTGCTCCTAAGTGACTCATCTTGGTCATTGAACGTTAAGCAACAGTATCACACAGGCAGACATCAACATGTGGTTGGCCAGATGCTCAATTTTTTTCCCTCTTAAATCTGAATGGGCAACTAAGGATCCAACTGAGGAAGACCATCATATGTAGACAAAAATAAACAAACATTAAAAAGTGGGGAACAAAGGGAAACAAACTATTGAGGTAAAACTTTGAAATATAAATTTAAAAAAATCATTCTCAGAGATGTTCAAAATGATACTGAATCCATAAATCAAGCATAAGAACATAATATTGTTATTTAAATTTTGGATATGAAGTCAAATGTATTATTGTTCAAAAAATAACCACTGCCTCTTGTTGAGGGAGAATTGTACTTGCCTACAGACTTGGTCAGGTGACTTGCCTTGACCACTGAACTGTAAGCAGAAGTATCAGACCAGGCTGACATCCACGTGTGGTAGGCCAAGTGCTTGTTCCATGTGTGGATTGTGTAGTCACCCTGGGTCTCAGTGTGACAATAATGCACAGCAGAGCCAAAATCGACCTGTAATAGATGTGTAGTTTGAACTGGCAAGAAAACTTCACTGTTTGAATTCGCTGAGATTTCAGGGTTGTGACCACAATATATACTAGCCAATGCTGAGTGATACAATATGCAATATTTCCACATCTTAAAAGTGCATTAAAAGATCTGAGAAAGAAAAATTCAAGAAAACCGCTTGGAAAGTAGAATAGATAAGAAGATGGAAAACAGACAAGAAAAAAAAATAAAAGTAGAGATTCAACCCAAATAAAAATGCCAACATCCAAATAATATGTTTTATAAGTGAGAGAACATAGAAAATTACTGGGAAAAATTTATCCAAGAAATATGAAAACATTAACCTCAATGGAAGGATTGTGGGGTTACAAATTAATATCCATTGTCAGCCAAGCACCATCAGTAAAAAGTCTAACACCAAAGCACATTTTCAAGAAATTCCTCATCACCCAAAATGAACAGCTCTATAAGATTTTGTAGAGGGGAAAAAAAAAAAAAAAACAGTGTTACACTAAAAAGGAACAAAAAATTCACTGAAAAAAAAAAATGGCATCAGGAATTTAAATGATAATGGAACAAAGATCTTTAGAATTCTGAGATATTTATTGCCAAACTATCAAAAACATATGAGAAGAATAGAATATTTTCACTCATGCAAAGGCCTTTAATATTACTTTGTGAACTATCTTTCCAAGAAAACTCCTTGAGAATGCTCTCCCATAAAATGAAGTTATAAACCAAGAAAGATAAAGACATTGAACAGAAAACAATGTATCTAACCCAGGATAGCACTAAAGACAAGACACAAATGCTATCTATACTCATCTGTGAAGCAAACATTTCACATTGAAACAGAAATTTGAAGGACTCCAAATAATGTGAAATTACGGTACAATTATGAATTGTATGGTACAATTATGAATTGAATATGAAATAATGGTACAATTATGACTGCTGCTAAACATATACTAAATGATATACACTCATGCACTGCATATGTTTCAGTGAGTGACAAACCACTTATTACTGTAGTCCCATAAGATTATATTACCTAGTGACATCATAGCCAGCTTAGTCTGTGTACATGTTATGATGTTCACACAATGAAAAAATCACTTATTGATAACATTCCTTGGAAGGTCCCGTCATGAATAACACATGGCTTTAATAGAAAAGTCCCCTGTGCATTTCCATTGTAATAGGATGGCATAACAAAGGTTTAAATCTGCTCCAGAGAAGACGGCACAAAGAAAAAAGTTTTCCATTATTTGACAGCCATAAAAGTGATAAGTTTGAAAATATAGATGGCTAAATGTCTATGTACATCCATTCACCAGCTGTTAAAAAGAATGAGGCAGATATGTTTGTATAATAAAGAATAATCCATAAGATGTATTTTAAATAACAAAATCAAGATACACACAAAAATCAAAACATAGAATAGCATGTGCAATATGCTACCAGATATGTGAAAACACATAGACCCACAGAAATAGCCATATATACAGAAAATACCATATTTGTAATAAGGACACCAGATAAAATTTAAGAAGTCCAGATAAATTTGAATTTTGAATAAACAATAAATATTTTTATTATATTCTATGCGGTATTGGGGGAAAAACAATCATTTTTACTTGAAATTCAAATTTAACTAAGCAACTTGCATTTACATTGTTAAATCTTCCAACCCTACTTGCAGGTGACAAAGTATATGAAAATTAGTGTTCTGCTTGCAAAAATATACACGAAGGCCTGAGCACACACAGCAAAAGAAAGCGACAGCTCCTCCAAGCTCATGTTTCTACACTGAACTCTAGCCTACAACCCACGCTGGCTTCATGAAAGAAGGTTCAAACCGTGAGAAAAATGCTAGGGAATTTTAAATTAAAGGGACAAGACTCTAATTACCTTCAAAACCAGGTCCAGGATGGCTTCTACTAGCTCCAGCCTGTAATGCAGTAGCAAGGTTTACTGAAGAGACTAGAGAGAGAGAGAGAGAGAGAGAGAGAGAGAGAACACGCCAGGGAGAGGGCGAGGGCTTTTATTGGGGAACAAAGAATTCCGGGGAAAATCCCTTCCAATGAATATTAAAGGGGGCAGCATCCCAAGGTCAGGGGCGACGATTGGGTCTTTGGGGCAGTGGCCAGACACGCCTCTGCAGGGACAAGCCCTCAGACCTGGAGAAGGGTGGGGGAAGCTCTGACACAGCTGTGCCTAAGCGCCTCTCACCCAGCCAGGGAGGTAACTCAAATCACGTGCGAGGATGGCCTTCCACACTGAACACAGTTTGCATGGTGTGCCCTGCTGTTGTGAGATGTGGCACCTGGTTGAATTAATAGGAGGCACTGCTTCTGGTGAAGGTGGCTCGTCACTCAAGGAAATCACTGGCACATGCTATAGAGAGCAGACTGTGTCTGCCCTTCAGACACCAATGGAGCTGAGGGCAACTCCAGACCATATGTATTGTTCAGATGCTTCAATAGTTTTCTCCTAACACCAAGATTACTCTGTTTCTTCCTGTGCCACACTCTCCCTAGCCCCACCCCAAGGCGCCACTGTTCTACCTCCCAGGTAGAATACATGCTTATAATTTCTTAGCAATTGGGTGAAAATGTTATAATATTAGGGGATTTAAAAATTCATTACATTCCCTCTGCAGTCAGCTGTAGTGCGATTTTGTTTGAACTCATTTGATGAGCTCCCACTCACCACTGAGTAAATGTTAGTGACACATTTCTCTGAGGCTCAGAAATGAGTTCTCCCTCTCCTCCTACAGAGTGAAAGGAACACTTCCTTTTGGGTGCAAAGAGAGGTGAATGCTCTTTCTTAACCTTTTTCAAAAACCTCTGCTCAAACCCAGCAGACTTCTCTTTTCCATCACCAGCTGTGACTGCTAAAAACTAAGCTTTTCAGTGTCATTTATTCAACAAGAATTTATCAAATGCCTACAGTGTGCCAGGCTCTGGAGACTCCAGTATCATATTAAGGTATGTCCAGGTGCAGCCAGGGACATGGTGAGATGCTGAGCACTGCAGGGACAAGCAGTCTCCGCTGAGGAGACTCAGCAGACTGTCCCACTCCAGCCCTTATTGTCAAAGAGGTTCAGAGGCCCCAGGCAGCCTGCTCAAGGCCACGACGCTGGGTGGCAGCTAAACCAAGACTGACCCTCTGTGTATTGGACCTGAACTTTGGCATTTCTGGCTTTCTTACATTGCTTTCTTCTTTCTTTCCTGGTCCACACAACCCACACCCTCCAACTCCCCTGCTGGCTTGCCTTTCCCCTTCCAGACTTTAACAAAATGCCACGCACCAAGAGGACTGAGTTTCTGAGTAGGCACTGAAGAGCCTGCTGCTGTCCCCCGTAGAATGTATCTTGGTAACATGAGTTAGGAGGGAAATAGGCACAGAGACACCCCCATTCTCCACTCCCACTCCCAGCAGACTAAGCTGCATGAGCCTCCCTATATTACTCCATTTCTATAACTATAATGAAATACACCAGGCAGGCCTCTTTATCAAAAAGAGGTTAATTTGGGCTCATAGTTCTGGTGAAGGTCAAGGGCCCACATCTGTGATGGCCTTGCTGGTGGAGTCCCGAGCTGGAACAGGGCACCACATAGCAAGATACAGGGAGCAAGCATGTGTGCTGCTCTCTCTCTTTTTAAAGCCAACAGTATTCAGTCACGATGACATTGTCTAACTCTCACCACCTCCCAAAGGCCCCATCTCTACACACTGCAGTCTGTTTCCAGCCTTATTACCACACAATGGGAATTAAATTTCAACTCATGAATCCATGGAAGACACACTCCAGCCATTTCCAAACCAGAGCTCTCCCAGAGACCAGCGTGTGGACTCTGAGCTGCGTCTCCTTGTGAGTCACAGTGAGCATCTTCAACACAGCAGGCCTTCCCCTCATGTCACATGGTTCCTCTACTCTTGAATCTCCCAAATGAAATGTTCTCCCTTCAATTCTACTTTCTGGAGGATCCAGCTGAGAAATCACTGCTAGGAGGTCTCAAAACCGAGTTTGCAAGTGCCTCAGGGCACATCCTTTATGCCTCTCTTGCCCATGAATTCTCATCTCACAAGCTGTTTCTGGGAAACGGACCTGAAATATCATTTAGTTACTAAACATTTTTTTCTGTTACTGAGAACTTGTAACCCTTCCATTCATCCTTCCCTGCCTTATTTTCTACATGGCACCTATTACCATATAAATTATTGCATTCATTTTCTCCACTGTGACCTCCCAGCTTGTGAATGTGAGCTTCTGGGTTTTGTTCACTGCTGTTTCTTCAGCACAGTGAGCAGTGCCTGCCACAGAGTGGGCACATTGTTTGTTGAATGAATAAATGCTATACACCAAAAATGAGACAATGAACAGGAAAGAAATGTCCCAAGCCCCAGGGAGCTTTCAGTCTACAAGGAAAATCAACAAAATGGACTGTTCTCCTTCTACTCTTCAGCAGAAGATCTGGCTGCCTCATGCCATGTCCTCTACCCTGCAGTTCCCTTCAGCATCTGGCTCTGGGTCTTCTCATTCTAAATGGATCATTCCAGTATGTTCTGCTTATGGCATAAGCTTGCACCAAGGATGAACTTTCCTTGTCCTCTTTGAACATCAACCTCTTCCCTAGCCCATGTTTGCTCCTGACTTGTCAGATTTGTATCCTTTCCTTCTGGAATCTTGGGGTAAGTGTTTCTTTTTTTAATATTTATTTTTTAGTTGTAGTTGAACACAATACCTTTATTTTATTTATTTATTTTGTGTGGTGCTGAGGATAGAACCCAGGGCCTCACACAAGCTAGGCGAGAGCCACAACCCCAGCCTGTGCAGATTGCCTTAAACTCAGTCTTTATAATGGCATACCTTATGCCCCTCAAATGTATTTTTATTTTTTAAAATATTTTTTATATCTTTATTTTTTTACTTTTATGTGGTGCTGGGGATCGAACCCAGTGCCTCACGCATGCTAGGCAAGCACTCTACCACTGAGTCACAACCCCAGCCCGCAAATGTTCTTCAAGTGAAAAAAAAAGGCAGATTGTATTAACACTAAAAGGTAAAACAGAAGTTCAACTTTCCATAACATGTACATTCTGACTGACCATCAAAATTCCTGAGATAACTAACTTATAAAGATAAAAGTTAAAGATAAAATAATAGCTCACTTACAAAAACTTACAAAAATAAAAGGGTTTATTTGGGGCTGAGAGTTTTGGAGGAGGTTCCAGTCCATGATCAATTGGCCCCATTGTTTTGGGACTATGGTGAGGCAGCACGTCATGGTAGAGCAAAATCAGTTATATCCCAAGCCAGGGAGCAAAGAGGAAGAGGAAGGAACTGGAGATATCAAATTTTCAACACACAGAGAGAGGTATAGACATAAAGATGTAAATGTAGATGTGTATACATGTGTACAGATGTTCTCTGTGTTAAGAGGCCTGGGGACATCCAACAGCCCAATAGCGATGAGCATATGTGGTGCCCACATTCTGATTTCTAAATCCCATTTTCCATTATGAAGAAGCAGGGCACCTTGGAACAGTGGCTGATTCCAGAGCTGGAGCAAGGCATGTACAGAATGATCCTGGAAGAACTTCTTCTTGTGCCAGAGGTAGGACAGTGCTCAAAGAAGAAGAATTGCCAAAGGGGTGGAGCCAGCTTGAAGGGGCTCCTACTGACCAGACCTAAGACATTTTTGCACATTCAGATACACCATGATAGTAACAGAATATATAAGGCATAGAGTAAAATTGTAATCCACAGAAACATGTTGCTACAAATAAGAAAATAAGAGAGTAACTTGAAAGTTTCATGAGGAACAGGATGTTTGCATAGTATGCAACACTTTCCTCCCATAATACTTGTTATTTACTATGGGAGAAAAAGAATATCTTTAAAACAGGGAAGTTGGCAGGTACCACCTTAATCAAGTAATGAGAGTAAACATGAGCAGTAATGAGACTAACTGAAACATACTCCATCATATGTATAGCATCACTATCACATTCCTGAAAAGAGTCATAGTTGAAGTTAAGCCATGAGGTAACATCAGACCAATCCAAACTGGATTACATTCTACTAAAATAGCCCATAATCTCCAAAAGTCAAGGTCATAAGAGTCAAGGAAAAACTGTAAAATTATTCAAGACTGAAGAAACCTTAAGAGATGAATAGCTGCTTGCAATGCAAGACTTTAGGCTGACTTGTTTTGCTAAAGGACGCCTTTAAGACAAATAGCAAAAGGTAAAGGGGTTTGAGAATGAGATGGTAATAATGGGATATCATGTGGGCAAATTACTTGCAAATGAGTGAGGAAAAAATAGTTGTGTACTGTAATTACAGTTTGCCTTCAAGTTTGAAATTGTTTCACATTTTTAAACCAAAATAAAACAAATATTACAAAATAGCAATAGGAATGCAGCACGCTTAGAACAACAGGAAAAAATAAGTGGATTAAACTTTAAAGACAGCTTTACTTATTCTCGTGATAATGGGATGTCATCCTGAAAACATTAGCACAGGAGAATGCAGAAGTCAGGGAACTTCTGGAAGGTCAGATTAATGCTACAAAGAGATGCTGTGCACATCAAGATTGTACATGCAACTGTAAAGAATAGGGTGTGACTAAAAAGGTGAAGTAGCTCATCTGCCTCCACCAAGAGCAGCATGTTCAGGGGTCAGTTCTCTCCTCTGGCCTCACCTATGGAAGCCAAGATAGGCTGCTCCTGGGACCCAAGTGAGGTCTCCTTTTGGGAAAAGCAATAGGGAGTGGAGAGTTCATATTTTAACATAGCTTTAAATAGGGAGTTATAATAGCAGGGGGTATCAATAATTTTCTTTTGAAAGGGGGAAATAAAATTATAATATACAAGAAGTGAACCCAGGTGAACAGGCAGGGGAAATAATTAATCATTTTATTCTCTTAGGGAAAAGCAAGCAAGAGGCAGAGGATGATATATGTGAAATAGATGTTAAGTGGGCAGGATGCACTGGAGGAGGAATCTA